ATATACATAAGCCTACCTTCTATTAATACTTATAGATAACTTTATAGCTAGCTTGCCTGTTAAATTTAGTAAGAGATTCACCTATAGTAGGTGTAGTTAGTGGGTTGCTTATTTATAGATAGTATTAGTCTACCATCTTATTAATATAGGCTGCCTAGTTAATCTATAGTATTTAATTAGCCCTATCTTACTAAATCTAGATGCCTAAGAAGGTGCTAGTATCTCCTAAATTATGGAAATTATATTTAGCTTATAGGCTAGTAATCACCTAATCTATATATAATTTTAATTCTCTTCAGTAGAGAAATAGTATGTTATTAATAAATATTATAATAATTATCATATTATTAGTATAGAGGTATGTATCTTTATTAATAGGGTAAAATCTAAGGGATTTAAGAGTTCTAGTTAGCTCTTGCTGCCATAAATAAGGTAATCTATATAGACTATAGAGGGCTTAATTTAGCTACTAAATATAGCCTTATTTAGAGTATCTAGCTGCTATCTAGGTATATACTTCTTTATCTAGAAGGCTGTTAATAAAAGTATTAGTTATATTAAGTTATTAAATATCTAGATTAAATATAGCTATCAGTACTATAAGTATCCTAAATATTTATATAGCTAGAGTTATTATAGTAGTATCTTCCCTGTTTAGAACCTATAAGTTACCTTATATATAGAGTTATCTCTTTATCTTTAGTAGATAACTGTTATTATTAAATTATATATAAAAACCTATATTAATAATAATACCTACTTTCTACTAGGAAATCTAACTTTCTTCTAGGTATTTTAGGCCACTAATATATTAAATTCCAGATCTATAGTGGTGTAGAAGAGGTCCTTTAGTAGATGGTTCTTAATATCTTAATAGCTTTTAGGAGGTAGTAGAAGCTTGCTTTAGTACTTCCTACCTAACTAAGATAGCCTATCTAATACTACCTATAAGAAAGCACTAAATAGATAGTATATATTCTTTATCTTCTCCTCTTTCTTCTTATATTAAGTGCCTGTTTCATCCACACATAGGGTGTATATATTTTTCTTAGGCTTTCTCTCCTATTTATAATATAGAATATTATCTATTAAGAAATCTCTGCATATCTCTTTAGAAGGCTATAGAGGTAGTTTATATGCTACTAGTTCTAACTATTCTTCTAGCTCTAGGCTTATTTAATTAAGCATGCTAGTAAGAAGCTGTCTTCTAGGGGAATTATTATATTAGTAAATTAGAGAGGTATCTGCTATCAGATCTTATAGTTCTTTATTATTATTATTACTAGGTGTTTAGGGCCTTTAATTAGTTTGAATTAGAATAGCTGTATATAGGCTATCTTCCCATGCCCCAGGGATTCATTAATTAATAGTGTGTATAGGCATATGGATAGGCTTAGTAGAATATGCTAGATTCAGTGATAAAGTTAGTTTAGGTATTAGTAGATGATATTTATTACTTTCTACTGCCTTCTATAATTAGTTAATTTACTTACTACTTTTACTTATATCTGTGATATTTACCCCCTGAGATCTAACTTTAATATTAACTTTAACCTTATCTCTTACCTCACCCCCTGAGGAACCACCCTTGTCACGGGCTAGAAGCCTTAGAAACCTATGACCTAGGTTTGGACGGTAAGAAATCGCTAAAGGAGAAATCTAGCTAGGGCCGCGGCGGCCGAACATAGGAAGAAGTGTGCGAGTGGTCTGTGGGTCACGTGACGAATCAGATTGCTACATTGATTAGTACGAAGTCACGTGACCTGCAGCTGGTGTCCAGTTTGGATATGACTTCGCGAGGGCCGAACAGCCTGAGCACTCAGCGGGCCCTGCCCGCTACATAGCTGATGAAAATGCATGTTCATGAACTAATAAATAAATTAAAAGAAATTTAGTTTTATTAATATGATGTATACCTATTTCTATTAATATTAAGGCCTTCGGCCTATATGTTAAGGTGTCTACTATGCAGGGTAGAAGGCCTGTCAGTCAGGTAAGGAAGAAGGTACCAAGTCAAATTATGGCAAGACTGTTTCTTGAGGTACCCTTAAGAATCCTTCATGAAGCATTCTATTTAATATATAGCCTCCCTAAGAAACTTCTAAGTCCTTGTCAAACATAATCAATGATTTGGAATTGAATATGAGGACAACTTATCAGCTGAAGGACTAATGCAAGAGATATGCACCTTATGCTGCCCAAAAGAGGGGGAACACAAAACTATATAATAAATCAAGTCACACTACTGATTTCATAGTGGAAAGAAACTGCTTCTCCCAGGAGAATATGTCAGGTGGGTATAACCTTAAGGAAACTGGAAAGGGAAGTGCATGGAAGAAAAGACTGTAACACTATAGAAGTGTTTTAAAGGTCGAAAATAAGTAACATTAAGAGGTTAAAGTAGATGAGAGGAATATAGAGGTATATATAGAGGAATAATTCTTCTATCTATATAGAATTAATTAAAACCAGGAGTAGCATGACTGCTGTGACCATTAAGGATTAAAAGGTAATATTAACTAATTATTTGTGAGGTAGTATTTGGTTTAAATATATTAGTAAGTCATTCAAGACCTAGGTTATTATTAGTCTAACTATTATCACTAAGACTAAATTAATAGCCTTTGTTCTTTAGTGTAGCTTAATACCACTCTTCTTAATGCTTTTTCCTAGTTAAAATAATTTATAGTAGAAGAACCTATCCTAATATATTTACTGCAATAATGGCAGTAATTCATTCATAATTTCTAGGCTAGACTAATTTGGTATTAGGATTTTGAGTTTCTAAGCCATAGATAACTTTGGCAGTTGATATAATACTGTTACGGCACACTTGCAGTCAGCATGGAATGGTTGGATGAGGCTTATGAGAAAGACAGTACAGTCTGACATACAATCAGGCTCGAGACCAGGAAGCGGTTAAGTCACGTGACGACGGTCCCTAAATGCCAAGGGAAGATAACGGTCCATAAGGGACTGTGACTACATAACACCACCATGGACCTTGGGAGAACAGTCCATAATGGGACCTCATGACAGCCTCAGGGTATGGACTGAAAGGGAGGAACTATATAAGAACACTCATTACCATTGTATCTAGGACTCTTAGTTTAGTTCTTCGCGTTCAATATCAATAACTTACTTGAGTACAAGTTCACTAGTCCAATTCGTCAGTTACTCTCTTACTATTAAGGATATGTCCTTAATAGGCCTTGCTTCTATTCTTGCTGTTCATTGATCTTGTGTTACCTTTGGATTGTCCCTGATCTCCGGAAGATCATTGTATCACAGTGTCAGACACATACTTGGTCGGTATAGTGTTAGGCTACCTGGTCGGTAGGCCTCAGGCAAGTATTGGATATAGTCCATGGGCTATATCACCCTCTTCCCAAAGTAGTTGACTAGAAGAAGAACAGCGAGGACGGATCCCAGGGTGTGACAAATACCCATTTAGAATCCTGTCTCATCCATATTATAGATATCATGGTCAAGAATATCATATTTTTGTATAGTATTTTGAACCAATCGATACCACCCCTGAATAACCTCTGGATCCTCACATTTTGCACGTTGGTAATCATATTTTTTATTATATTTTGATCAAATATCATGATGATGTTTAACAAATCATTTAACCCATCTCTTACTAATATGGGCTGGTGATGTCAATGAGGCTTTTAAGTGTGTAGAAAATAAACGCTCTGCAAGATATCGAACCCTTAATATCTGGGGAGGTAAGCCACATTCAGCCATATCAAGGATCTAATCTTTAAGAGTTTGCTCTTCAAGATTAGTTAGTTTTTGAGAATTTGCAAGGATATCTTTGCAGGAGGGTCTTCCTTTATATCAAGCATAAAAGGTAGTTGGAGGCACGCCAAACGCTTTAGCACAGGCAGTTTTTAATGTGAAATGGCCCTTATTCTAAGCATCAAGGGCCATTTTCATTCGCTCATCCTTCAATACTGAAGCCATATTGAATATGTTGAAAAAATCCCCAAAAAGTAGGAAAGATATGAAGTACTTGGGGGTTCCACAGCTGACTATACCGCTCGGTGTCGTGTGCCGTTCGGTGTTGGATTACGTTATGGATTGAAGCGGGTATTATGTAATGGAAAACCAGCCTGATTCAGCTACCTAATAGGTCTTACAGGTTACCCATCTAAAACTTGTCAGAACTAACGGTATCACAAACGGTATCATTCCCGTAAGCATACAGTCATTCATTTACCCTCTAATACAAAACACTATCTCACTATGCCTAATCAGGAATTTGATGGGCAAGAATCTTCTAGATATCTTCCCTCTCATTAACTTAAATACACTCCTTAGATAGATTAGAAGATGTGTGAGATCATATACTTCAGTATAAAAAAATATATCGCTCATTTTGCTGCTATCCTGGCTGGATAGACTGTATGATCCATCGTTTCTGGTTCGCATGCTGCATAGCTAGTAGGCTTGACCCACCAGCTCTGACAAAACTATTACCCACCGCGGGTTGAAGAGTTAGACCTAAAACCCAACCCATTTACGGGTTGGGTCGGGTCGGGTAATGGGTCTGATGGGTTCTGCCGAAGTCTAGGTGTCTCCTTCATGCACCGTCACCTGATATTTCCATGTGATCTCATCTCTATAATCGTCTCAATCGTCACAGAGGACATAAAAGGATATTGAATATGCCTTCCACTTTTCAAACCCTTTTGATCTTTCCTTTAAGTTGGTTCTGTCTCATCTCAGTCGTTGTTGTGCATACTGTTACGAGTATGCGTGGATGGACTTCGGATCTGGACAGAGCTTGAGAGGATTCTGGGAAAGAGCTGGGCTTGCAAACAAGTCAAAGAAGTGCGAGCATTTTTATCAGAGCGCATCCCCACGCTCCTGGACTCTTTCTTCTTTTCCTCTCTAGCTTCGATACTTTCGTCAGTTCGTACCGAATTGATTTGTTCTCTTCGATTGACCCATAACACATACTAGCAATACTATTCGAGCTTGCTCTGATGTCAGACTATCTGCGATTCGTACTTCCTCATCAAATGGCCAGTTGGATCTTCTTCAACAACATGGGCCCAGGCACCTGCAAAATGAATTACAAACATGCCCTTTTCCCACTTTTTCTTATGACTATCATAGCAACCTATCTCTTCGGGGAAAGCGTTGATTCTCCACTGAGGGATGCGGATGGCATGCTCAATAAGAGGAGTCTTGCTCTGGAGAAATTCCGCCATCGATTCTTGGTCGTTCCATGATTTTCCGCTGTTTTTTGCCCTTTCTCTGTCATGCACAGCACGAACAGCGTTGAGAAAATCTATAGAACGCGGTGATGATCGAACAATAAACGACCCGTCATTGAGACCATTGCTCGAAGTCGGTCAGTAGGTATGCCTGAAGGCCCTACTCTGACTGATTGGAGACTTACCAATCATCTGTCACTATGAAATCAATCATGTCTGGCACCGAAGAACTTGCCAAGCTTTCAGAGATGATATCTGCCAGGCTCATAGTGGTGTTGGTAATAAGCGTGTCGAAATCTATCCACCAGATCCAATCGTACTGTGAAGTGTTGATGAGACGCTCAATCATATCGAACTTGAGCCATGTAGTGCCTCGTGTCGAGTGAGATTCATAATCCACATGAAGATCATATCCATGAAGCTGAGCATAGTCTAAGAGCATGTTAAAAGTTAGGACCTTATTCAATGTAGATCTTTCAGTAAAATAGGCTTGAACTTACAAGCTTTATTCCGCAGAGAGATATGAAGATATGACTGTTGCTTTGTAATGAAAGTTACAATTGCAAGGTGAAGTTTTGTTGGGTCACCTTGGTCTTTTATGCTGTTAAGTTTTAACCAATGGTTCCGACCCGCTATGAGCTGCCAGGCCAAAAATATGATTAATAAGAGGAAGACACCAGTTGCTCGGACTGGTCGAGGTACTCGAACGTTGCATCTGGTTTTGCGATTGCCCTTGGCAGAGGGGAAAGCCCGTGGCATAGTGCTCCTCGAGTAAGCAGCATATACTATCTCAACATATTTTTCTCAGACAATATTCCTATGACAACAGGTTGTCCAAGTCCCCTATGTCCTTAGTGTCCTTTATACAAGTTCAGACTCAAAGTGCAGACGAATCTTCTATGGGTTTAATGTTCGATCTGGAGTTTATAGGTTACAGATTCATGTGGCACAATGTGTTAGGTGCCTCGAAGTGGTTGCCTAAGCAGCGACAAAATGTACCGAAGTAACCTACGCGGGTCTCATATCATTGAGCTGAGAGGTCAAAGCAGTAATTCTTGGTGACACGGATAAATTTGACTCGGTGTGCTCGTGCAGTGTGTATTCCCTCTTCCTAGCCCCCTCTTTGCCAAAACCAAGGTTCCATCGACATAAATGCTTTAATGAATTAGTATGAGGATGCCAGAGATTTGTGTGGAGAATTCTTTGAAACAAGCTCAAAGAGTACAGAGCATTTTTGTTTTTGGAAGGGAGTGCTTATTGTCCTGGTGTAAAAAGAGGACCACAGCACAAACGGCTGTTGGATTGGTTGAGTCAAGACCAGCGCTTTTCATCTGAAGGATGAGCTATTGTAACATGTAGTCAGTCCATATCGTTGTCTGAGCCAGAAAAACATTGGTGACTGCTACCCATCTGCCTACTTCCTCCCCATTTTTTTGAATATTCGTCTACCCTGCCTTCCACGAAGTTGCTGATGGCTTGGTCCCCAGTCCCAACTTTTCACCGGTCGTTGATGAACTTTCAGTGTGTACAACCCAAGACATTGAAACAATGATATCATATCTATCTTGAAGCCCCCTTGAACATGCGTCCGATGAAGATACTCAGAATGTATATGTCTTAAAGACGCATTAATCTGCTGGAGTCTTGATGGGCTTCTTAGGTTTACGTGAAAGAACCGTGATCGCATCAGATGCCGGCTTAATAGTAGGTGCGACTAGGTTACGTCATGCTGTCACAGTGTTCCAGTAGCCCCCATTAAAGAAACACTGAGCCAGCTCAGAGGTCAAACGAGGTTCTTTTATGTAAATAATCCCATGAATATTGTTACGGGGCACCCTCACAAAGGACTAGGGAAAAGTCCCATGGGAGTTACAGGTCTTCTCTGACAATGGAGTTGCGGTGAACAGCAACTTCTATGACTGCAGACCTCCTGCAGACCTCCTACAGGGAGTATGCGTCTAGCATGCTTCTAGGAAGGAGTTCGTGTCTTCAAGAAGACTCAGCAGCTGAACAATTCAATAGCAAAGACCCCTCAACTCATTATGTCTTGGTCATGATAAATAGTCTTGGTGAGTTGTGCATTGTGATCCCCAAGAATCAGTCTTGTCCTGAATCTGACTCTATTGTTCCCTTCCGGTGGCATCTGCTTCTTCTTACCTAGTTAACGGACCCTTATTCGTTGTACATCGCTTTACAATAAGATATAGTTGATTTCTGCAGTAATATCAAAGTACCCTCTTTTAACTAAATATCTTGTATATCCAAGAGTAATTACTTATTCTTGTTACCAAGACATTACAGCCAAGAACTCGCGTAAGTTTTACGAATTATAAAAGTCACATACACACTAATTCTTGCCCTAAAATGGCCGAATGGGCCGGCCCATGGGTTCTGCCTAGGTCTAGCGTCAACAGTGTCATCGTAAGGAATCGCGGCATGCGCTGTTCTCAACCGCCCACCTTTGACATTGTGTATGACATAGATCTAATCTTTCAGAGCAGACTCTCCGCCGTGAGGGATGTTTATGGTGGGATTAGCAGAAAGAAAGACAAAGGGCTGCTGGGCTGTAAGCTAATGGCGCTGTATGTGCGGAAAAGGATCTTTTTGCTCTTCATCAGCTGAGGGACTTTCAAGAAGATTCTGAAGGCCATAAATTTAAGGACAAGCTATAAGCCACACTGTGTGAGCAGGTCCCAGACCATATTAACACTCTTTACATATACATTAATGTCCAGGGTGCAGCTTTGGAGGTGGCATAAGCATTATTAGTCATGAATTATAAGGCGTTCCCGACGCTCGCTGTACTAGGTAGGGCAAACATTCTATCTGGCTCATAGCTATCTATTATCACTGATTGTGCATGACAGCTGCTGGGCAGTGGTTAGAACAAGGATAAGTATTACAATAGGTGTAAGATTACTAATAAGTAAGAGTACTCTGTGAAGGTGGAGTAATAATTCTAATCCCTGTTGCTGCTCTTTAATCTGGCCATTCTATTATGCTTCTGCTCTGTCTATCTCCCTTCTTGAAGAGATGGTCGCGCCGTTCACTTGCTGTTGGGTGTCAGTAGTAGAGGCTCGGCCGTGCAACCAGTCATACCCAACTTGATCGAGCCGGCGATTTTTCATAATCCATCGTTAATGTGGCAGCACAAAACATTTACCTAAAGGACAGTATTGCATTCCAAGGATCAGTTTCTTCAATACTGTCCGAAATGCCGCGAGGCATCCGTAACTAGGCATCCGCAAAACCAAAATTGGGTCCTAGATCACGACCCAGAAACCAACCCAGCCTGGGTCTGGGTTATAGCAGTTCGACCCAGACCCAGTAATTGGGGCCCCAGAAAACCCAGCTGTCACAGGCTACGGCCTGGGCTGTGGTTGTCGGCCATGCCCTCAACCATAGAACATTCTAGAAGAACCATCGGGAAGAGGTTGGAACCCAGCGGAAGCTTAGGAACATGTATATAAGAAGGAGAGGGAGATGTATCTTCCTATTTCTCCAAGTTTGCCATATTCGTTAATATAGGATTGCCAGTTGAAAACAATACTGCCTACGCCCGTCTCACAGCTATAACTCAATTCAGACCCAGTTTCTGCTTAGTCGGCAATTTCTGTAACCGACCCCGCCATCTCAATGAAAACCGACATCTCAATGATAAAATTTCCCAAAATTGTATGCTTCTTAGAATTTATATCATTTATCAACACCACCATGCTGGAATCATATTATGATATAGAAGATTGAATTGAGGAAGCCATGCGCGCATTAAAACGCCAGAAAAAACCTAATTTTTCTAAAACTGCGCAAGAGTTTAATGTCCCAATGCAGCGGCTTCGACGCTGCTGGAATGGGATACCATCACATTCAGATAGAGCCCTAACCAATACAAAGCTTACTGCCGCGCAGGAGATGGCTCTTAGGCAGTATATTAACAAGCTTATCAAGTTGGATATCCCTCCGCGGCCGCAGCAGATTGGTAATGCAGTAAATTCTATACTCTGTCACAGACATACTGATTCCAACAACCCCTCCTCCTCAGATTGGTGAAAAGTGGACAAAACGCTTCCTTAAACAGCATCCAGAATATTAAGTTAGAAGGTAAAGAGCTATTAAGGTTGAACGGAAGCAAGCACACGAGCCCTGGGTCATTGAATCATGGTTCCATAATATCAGAGGGTTAATGGATAGAAACTGTATCCATCCCTGAGATCTATACAACTTTGATGAGACTGGCTTCCAGATAGAATCGGTAAAGATCAATGGATTGTTACTAGGGAGTTTAAGAAGACTCCTTTCTCTCCTAGTAACACTAATCAAGAATATACAACTATTGTGGAAGCAATTAGTGCAGATGGTTATTTCATCCCACCTTTTATCATCTTTGGAGGCAAGTGCATACTAGCTGGATGGTTTAAGGTATGTGGTGAGCCTGACTATATAATTAGTATATCAGAATCTGGATATATCAATGATCTCCTTGCATACCAATGGATTCAACATTTCAAGCGTCACACGCGGCGTCGAATGGTAGGCTTAAAACGCCTACTTCTCTGCAATGGATATGGTTCCCATATGACCTACAAAGTCATTGAATTCTGTGAGAAGCATAATATTATCTTATACTTCCTTCCTCCGCATACAAGCCATCTCCTTCAACTACTTGATGTTAGTATATTCCATGCGTATAAGCACTAGCATAGTGAAGCTATCCAGGATGCTACACAGACAGGATGCAGAAAGTTTACAAAGGTGGAATTCTTATCCGCTCTCTTCAAGATACAACGCAAAACTTTCAAACCTCATATCTTAAGGCATACTTTTAGCTTGACTAGCATCAATCCCTGGAAGCCATCTATTACCATTAGGAGGCTACAAGATAGTGAACTTTTTGCAGATGAGGAGACAAGCCAATCCTCCTTTTCTATCACCAACACACCTAAAACAGTGCGTTAATTTGATAGATTTAGTCATCATATGCTTCAACTAGAGCTAGAGGAGGAAGAAGCTTTCTATACCTACCTTTTGAAGCTTGTACAAGCCTCAAAAGCATAGGCTAGTCTAGTAGATAAGCTTACCAAACAGGTAGCCCAATCTGATGCTGCAAAATAGGCACATCAACACTGTGCACAAGCTTCCAGAGCCCATCTACATAGAGGTGGAATAGTACAGAAGGAAGAGGTCAACCATATCAAACATGTGAAGCAAGAATATGATAAGTTAGTAGAGAAGAATTGATTACGGCCGCAGTGGAAGAAGGTAATGGTGGAACTTCAAGAGTACTGCCTAGCAAAAGGAATAATTATTCAAAAGTAAAGAAAGGTGTGAAAGACAGATAAAACCTAGTAGTTATCATTTCTATATATTTTATTAGCAAATTAGAACAGGAAGGTTGCCTATTTCTTTATAATAGTTTATTTGTTAAGAAATTTTATCATTGAG